TTGCTGAATGCAATCATTATGTACTATAAACATTTACAAATAAAGATTTAAAAAAATTTAAAGGAGAGGTTCTAAATCTAAAATGAAAAGAAAGGAAATACTGGCTGCAGTTTATTTTATGGAACCAAGCAACAGGTGGCACCTAGAATGGGGCCTGGTACACAGCAGCAGCTTTTGGACTGTGGGGTCCAACCTCTCCTTGAATGCTCTCTACCTCATCAGCACTCATTCCGATTCCTATTGTTTCCTTCCCAGCATTACAGCTGCTGATACCTCACTGCACTGCATCCTGTGGAACAAGATATATAATCAGGTTGCCTTCTAAGAAATTATGTATTGATGGGCATCATTTTGGAGAGGGGCTGTCAGAGTAATTTATTCATTCATTCCCTGATTCAATCAGTGCTAAGTTACTGAGACCTTCTTAGCTGATGCCAGCATGGCTAACTCAGTGATTTAGCCAGTCCTGTCTCAAAGAATAAAAAAGGCCTGGAGATGGAGCTCAGTGCAAAGGTCCTGGATTTAATCCACGGAATGGAGGGGAGAGGGAAGAAAAACTTCTTATGGCAGACACCACATTCATCAGGTTATTCTGTTGGGGAACGGGAGGAGAAAGCTCAGTGAGGCCACAGCAGGAAAGACAGACACGAGAGTATGATGATCCTGCGAGATACAGTACAGACATGCCAGCAGCCCGTGGCCTGTCACGGAGGCAGGACTAGCACTGCTGGACGGAGTCAGGGAAGGTGACCGTTGGACTGGGGTAACTGGAGAAAGGGGTGGCACTGTACACAAATTAGTGTGTTCCTGTGAAAGGAAGTAAAGGAATGTAGGGGTTTACCTTTTCACTTTGGAATAAGAACCTTTTCTAAGAAAGACCACACACACACACACACACACAGTTTTGTGTGTCTCTCCCAACTTTGGTTCTTTGCTCTATGACAGCAAAGTTTTTGCTATTTTCATGAAGGTGCATCTTCCTATTTACGTGAATCAGGTTTGTTTTTGTTGTTGTTTGTTATTGTTGTTGAAAGGATCTTGCTGTGCTGCCCAGGGTGATCTCAAACTCCTGGGCTCAAGTGGTCTTCCTGCCCCAAACTCTGCAGTAGCTAGGACCATGCACTCACGCTGCCATGCCTAGTTCAATCAAGTTCCCATTCCATGGGTCTGTGACCTGGGTCAGAGTTGAGACCCTTGGTTCTCAGGGTGCTCCAGTACCGTGTGAAGGGCGGTGTGACTTGTGTGGAGAACACAGGGAAAGGAACCGAATATAGGTAGAAAAGGAGCTTAGAAATACAGACGGGGTCAGGCTGTAAAGGCCCCAGGAATTTAGACTTAGTACTAGGTTTAAAGATATATTTAAGGTTTTTCATGAAGTGTTTATACCAGCACCATATGTACTGTGGCTCTGTTTGGTTTTGTTTTGTAATGCTGGGACAAAATACAGGTCCTCACCCATGCTAGACAAGCTCTCTGCCATTGAACCCCACCCCCAGCCCATATTCTGAATCAAACCCTTCACTCCTTACCCCATTATGAGTTCACAGAAGAAAGTGCAGTAGAATTGGGCCTAACTGACACAGTGAACTTACACTATATGGCAATGCTTGCTTTACTCTTGCAATAATTTATGAACCAAACCAGCTAGCATTTATGGAAAATTTATAAGCTCAAAAAAAAATCTGAGTGATTTCTGGCACAAGATATATTCAGAGCTTAGCCAAAGCAACAATTCACATTTCCTACTTACCACTTATCCTGCCTTCTTCTCTTTCCAGCTTTTTTTTTTTTTTTTCCCCTCATGGGCTTTGAATAAAAGTGTGTGCCCACACTGCCTGGATTTAAGTAATTTTTAAAGAATCAGGAAACATCCAGGGATGAGTGAAAGCACTGTGTCCTGGGGGTGGGGGATGTGCTCTATGACTTCCCAAAGCAGTGCCACAGTCCCTTGGAGGCTTTTGTGGTAAGGTTAAGCAGTCTTTTTTGTAGATATCTTTGAAGAGACGCAGTGGAGCTTTCCATGGTTGCAAATCAAAGCTATTTTTGCAGCAGAAAATGATTAATCTTCGTCCTTGGTATGCCTGTAGGCCGTCCCCCTCTTTAATACTTCTGTGTTTTGTTTAAATAATATTGCTCTGCCACCACAAATTTCTACAATATACTACAAAATCTGTGGTCCTCCCTTCTGAGGAAGGGTTACCTGAAAAGGGAAAAATCCTGTGCTCCTCTTGGCAAACAAACAGCAGCTGACTCAGTGGTCATTAAATCACATACAACTTTGGGATATTTTTCCAGAGGCTGGGGTGGGGGCACCACCCATTTCTCTACTCAAGGAACTCTCTCTGGTTAATTCTCTAGGCAGGGTGGAATAGCCATGGATGCCATTTCTAGGGCTGGAAGTCCATTCTTTATGGGAATCCTGGAGGTGGTAGCCCTTGTAGTCCATTCCAAGGGACAAAGAGCCACCTGGTTCTGCCACACCTGGCTCTGGCTGGGGAAGAGGAGGGTGCATTAAAAGTGTCTCCTCTCCCCCTCTGTATATTCTGGGTCAGACAACCATGACCACGTGCTCAAAGAGAGCAGAAATATCTGCCAGGTAATTCTGTCTAATGTGTTTATTTTTAAATACTGTATATGATTTACCTGGAGCTCAGTAGCTACTTCCAGAAACTGAACCCAGAATGGAAGTCTCCATCCACAGGAAATGGAACACAGATACAGCTAAATTCAGTGCTTGAGCTGTCTGATCCAGATGCCCTCTGCCAAGAGCAAGCCTCAGCAGAGGCCTGCCGGAGGAGTGAGGAGAGAGGAAACGTTTGGAAAGCTTGGGGCTGTGCTCAAGAATCAAGTGGGCCAGCAATTCTAAAATACAAAGTTGAACTGATACTCACAATCTTGCAGCAAGACTACGCTTTTACATTTTTCAGTTGTTAAGGAAATTCTCTTCATGTACAATCACTTTTAGTGGTGTCAAGAGTGGAAGAAAAAGCATGAAGTAAAAGTTAAGTTTGAAGAGGAAACTATTCTTTCTGAAGTTCCTCGTAGAACCTGCTTCCTTCTCGAGTATTTTCGTTTATTAGCTGTAATAAAACACACTATGGCATATTGCAGGAGCCTTTTTCATTAGAGGGTCTCCAACCCAGGCATAGCTTAGTTATGGGCGTGGCCACAGGCTCAGTGTGACAATTGCACTGCCCTAGCAAAAACAAAACTGCCTAATAACTGAAAAAAGGAGAGAAGTTCTGAGTCTTCCCCTGAAGCATGGCACTGCCCAGCAGTGTCACCTGCTCCTGTTGCCATGGCAGAGGAAGCAGCACAGGTGATGGATGAGAAGGACGCATCCTGCTTCCCTGTGCTGAGAGCTCCATCTTGCCCCTGGGCTGGATGGAGCTGTCAAGCCATGATACCAGATCCATCGCACAGTCTTAGCCTGGCAAGGAGAGAGGGCAATGGGGGACACTTGTCTGGGGACAGAGGTAGGGTCAAACCTGGGGTTCACGTGTGGAGGCTTTGCCCTCCAGTCCCTGGGGAACACATTCCCAAGTGATTAGCAGCGCTGCCTCCTTCTCTCTTCCTGGCCACTTCCCCGCCATTATCTCCATCAGCATTCCTTTCCTTATTGAGGCCCTGCTCTGGCAGGAATTCAGCTTCGGGGTGGGGGCTAGAAAATCAAAGCAGAATGGTTTCCAGGACCCCTGAAGTTGTTGCAGAGGGGCAGAATCCTAAGGACATGAAATTAAGGGTTTTCCTTAGGCACTAAGGAAGATGAGTCTTGTAGTTAAGAGGCTCTAATGAGCTTGCAGTTTAAGGTAGGGCAGAACCTTACCCTTTACCCCAGAGGACAGAGGTTGCTGGGGATCATAAAGTTCACCCAGTAAAGTACTTCCTGAATCTCAGGCTAGGAGGAGGGGGTGAGCCCCTAAGTTGTTAGAGATAACAGGCTGAAGAGCCACACCCAGGGACTGCTTGGCAAGATCCTTTCCAGACCTAACAGTCTTAGTCCCTGGGGACTGTGGCTTTAGAGGTGGCAGTTTGCTCTGGCCTCTCATGGGATTGATGAAGAGACCTGGTCAGGAAACAGTAGAAAATGATGATGGAAATTGGGGACTGGAAGAGGGAGAAGGACAGGGTTGAGCAGTTGCCAAAACAAACTACAACTGGGTGACTTTTAAACAACAGAGGTGTATTACGTTGGTCCAGTAGGTTTAAAATCTAAAATCAACATGCAGAGGCCAGGTATGGTAGGGCACACCTATAACCCTAGCATTGAGGAGGCTGAGACAGGAGGAATGCCATGAATTTGAGGCCAGCCTGGGATACACTGTAAGTTCAAAGCCAGCCTGAACTACATAGCAAGACCTTGTCTCAGATAAATAATTAAATAAAGAATAAAAGTGCAGAGAAGGGTAGCGTTCTCTAGATTGTGAGAGACACTGTTCAAAGCTACCCCTCTCACTTCTGCAGCCCAGAGGTCTCTTGGCTTGTACCGGCCTCTAGAGCCCATGATCACCTGGTGTCCTATCTTCTTTGTATAGTCTTTGGACAGGCTGTGAGTAACAGCGGTGGTCAGTTCCCCTTGTCTAGTCGTTTCAATAGTAAAGGGAGATTAGGCTATTCCAATGCAGGCGGACTTCCTGCAACTCGATATTCCGTGATTTCATCATTAATCTTCAAGGACAACTCCACGCAGTGATCTCTATGATCTTTTAATAGGAAGTTAAGCTTTTTTACGAGGGTTGAATAGGAAGAGGAGACGGCATTTCTTTGGAAGTCAGCTAAATCTCGGGAGTGAGATTACCTCTGAGTCTCAATTTTCTAAACTATAAAACAGAAACAATACGGCCTCCTACGAGGGGAGTAAACTAGAGGCACACAAATCTCTACAGAACAAAAACCAGCGGTGGGAGAATGGGGCGGGACAACCTGGGCGTGGCCAGGGGCAGGCTTTGTTCTCGCCCCGCCCCGCCCTAGATATCGCGAGAGGGCCGGCCCCGCTTGGCTTCGGGTCAGCGTCGCTCGCGCGCTGAGGCACTAGGCCCGCGTCGCTCCGGGCGCGGGTCGAGTGCCGGCGGCGCGGGGCCGCTCGCGCGCGGCGTCGACTGTGGCGTCACGATCATTGTGTCGTGACGGTGACGCCCGGAGTTGTATCCATTGCAGCTCGTTCGGCCGCTGTAGCCCGGAGCTGGCTCTGCGGCTACCTAGCAGGTCGCCGCGAGCGCCCGACATTTCTCTTCCTGGATCCTTCGCCAACAGCGACCCTGAGCCAACAGCAGGAACCACCGGCAATGGCGGCCTCGACGGCGTCGCACCGGCCCATCAAGGGGATCCTGAAGAACAAGACCGCTGCGACTTCCTCGGTGGTGGCCTCGGCCGAAGAACCCCGCCGGAGCGTGGACGAGGAGCTGAGGTGAGAGCCGGAAAGGCCGGCGGGGACCCCGGCCGCGAGCGACGCCGAGTGGGAGTGGCGACCTTAAGTCTAGGCGCGTCTGTATTTTAAAGCAAATCCGATCTTTAAAACTTGAGTCTATGCACATTTAGGCATCATGTTGAAGTTTGAGAGTTTCAGCTGTTAAGATTTTATCCCTTCTTACCTTCACCTCAGAGGTGTTTTAAGGTTGTTGTATAAACTTTTTTGGCCTAGGAAGAACCTCTTTTAGATTTAGAATCACGCTAATGAACCTGAAAAAGAAACCATTTCCCTATTAAGCATTGTGCTACCCTCACTTCCCTGTTCGTCAGCTCTGCACTAAGAGAAATAAATGTTTTCCAACTCCCTGATGTACATTTAAAGGAAAGTTACTCGCTGCTGCACGTTTTTGCCTCTGCGGCTACTATTTTGGATGCTTTCTAGTTTTGGGACCTATTGACATGTACCTAAGCTCAAACGGTTCGAAGAGAAGCAGCTTCAAGATGCTGACTCGAAGCAATGTATGTATTAGTAAACAATTAGAAACAACCCGAGGTCCATTAGTTAGAATTGATGAAATATTGTGATACATTTGTATAATAACTTTTTGAAAACAATGACATAGATGTTTTTGCACAGAGAAAGATTCTCAAGATGTACAGCTTCATGAAAAACACTACTAAGAGAATTACTACTACACTACTTAGAGAATTCTATTTTCTGGAAGTAAGGCTTAAGAAAAGTTAGTGAAATTTGCAGTCCTGAAACTAAAATGAAGATGGTCGTGAAATCTTAATATTAGTGTTTTGGTAATTATTAGAGGCATTAAATAGTGTTCTTTCTAAAAAGCTATATTGAGCTGGGCGTGGTTGCCCATGCCTGTAATCCCAGCAGTCAGGAGGCGAAGGGCAGGAAGATCACTTGAGAGTTTAAAAGCTATATAGGATGCAGCTATGGTGATGGATCCCTTTAACCACAGCCACTCAAAACGCATGGGCAGGAGACTTGAAAGTTCGAGACACTTGGGCAACCTAATGGCGACCATGTCTCAAAATAAAATTTTAAAAGGGCTGGGGATGTAGTCCAGTGGTGGAGCACTTGCCCAGCATGTGTAGAGTCCTGGGCTCAATCCCCGGTACCACCAAAAACAAATTTTTAAAAAGATACATAGAAAGGTGGGCACAGCAGACCCTAATCTGTAGCACCAGCCACTCAGGAGGCTACGACAACAGGACCACTGAATTCCAAGAGCTCAAGAACCTGTCTCACACACACAGGGAAAAAAGAAAAGCTATATAGTAGCATAGGATAAACTGTAAAGCTTTCATAAATTTTACTCCAGCAACAGTTGTCCCAGCAAGTTATACCCTAAAATTCTCACTGACTAGATATATGCAAATATGTCCATTTCTACCTTAATTAGCAAAATCTTGGAATCATAGTAGTATGTTGTTGAATATCATCAGTCATTAAGAAGGCAGAAACTGGAAAACATAAGCAGATTATGGTACAATACATAGCTTGTATATTAATACATGTATTTATACATCTATATGTACATTTTTCATATCTTGATAGTTTATGTGTTTTATATATATCATAGAGTGCCATACACACAAATAAGAGCTATTTGGCTTAAGATATTCAAATGATAAGTTTGTGGGTTTTTGTTTTTGTGGTACTGGAGATTGGACACAGTAAACTACATCTCCACTCCTTTGATTTTGAGACAGTAAGTTGCCTAGGCAGGACTTGAACATGGTGATTCTCCTGCTCAGTCTCCCAGAGAGCTGAGATTACAGACGTGTCACTGTGTAGCTTTAAATTTTATTCCTTAGAAAACAGAATTTCTACCTGGAAATGGCAGTCACCTGAAGATGAGGCAAGAGGGTAGACCAATCTGGGCTGTATAATGAGACCTACAAATGAAGGAAAGGAGGTGGGGAGGAAAAGACGGAGAAAGAAAACAGAAAATAAAGCATAATTTCTGCTTGTGTCCTGTAACTACTTTTTCTTCTGTCATCTTGCAAACCACATTATAGAGTCGATGTACTTTCTTTCACAGTAGAGATGCACTTTAAACTTAAAAGGACCATATTCATTCTTTTTCTGTCCTAAACAATAATGATGACAGCTGCTTTTAATTCAAAGTGTTAATATTATTTAAGAATGATTTGTTTTAGGTTAGGAAGCACATGGAAAGTTCATTAATGTGTGCTAAATGTAAATTTAAAGCTTAGAAATTTATTGTAAAACACTCATGTATCTGTCCTGGTTAAAAAAGAAAATGATAACCGGACATGGTAGAACACACTTGTAATTCTAGCCCTTCAGGAGGCTGAGATAGGAGGTTTGCTGTGAGTTCAAGGTCAGCCTGAACTGCATATCAAGACACTGTCTCAAAAAAACACCTCTCCCCCTCCAAAAAAAACCACAGAAAATGTTTCTGTCACTTCAGAAATGTCTGTTTCCCTTTCAGTTACAGTCTGTACCTTCCCCAGAATAGAACTACTATCCTGACTTCCATGCTAATTACTTAAGTACCTGTCTCTACATTCTAGTTTTGCCCACCTTTGAACTTTATGCTAGTGGAGATATGCTAGACTTTTACAGTGTCTTTAGTAGGAAATCGTCACCAGGATGGAACATTGAGTTATTGTCAAGGAGCTCCCTTTGTTTTTTATTGTATTGTTTCCTTCACAAAAGGAATTCCTCTTAAAACCTATATCTGTTTTTTTTACTCTCCTACCAATCAAAAGCTCCTTTATCATTTTGATACAGAGACCGCCATAGGGATGGAGGACAGACTAGGCCCTTAAACTGTTTACTCATTGAAAGCATGATTTGTGTTTTTTCTGAGATAGACAGATTTAAAGCAGGCTTTTAGCTAGATATAGTGGCACATGCCTGTAATCCCAGTAAACAGGGAGGCTGAGACAGGAAGATCATAAATTCTAGCCCAGCCTGTACAACTTAGTGATACCCAGTTGGAGACTAAGGGCTATGGCTGTAGCTCAGTACTTAGGTCCTGGGTTCAGCCTTTAGTGCCTCAGAGAAAAGAGTGACACTTCATTTGGGCCTATAGATGCTACAGGTTATTAAAAGCAGGCCAAAGCTTGACCTTCATTTCATAAAACTTGCTATTCTCTCAGCACTTCATACAGGCATGTTATGTAACAGAAATATGTCTCAACCCTGGTGAAACAAGGTTTTCCAGCCCTAAATTTACCTCGCCTATTTGATCTCTCTTCAAGACTGGGGACACTACCATACAAGTAGCTAAAGTACTTTTCAGGATTCCCAGGAACATTCAGCTCCACCAGCAAATCCTCCTGCCCTAAACCTGTGGTCCCGAGGGTCCCAGGAACCCCCCGAAGCTGTAAAACCAGGACTTAGATCCTGACCAGCCCAACCCCACCCGCACAGCACCCCATGACACTCCTGCCCCTCTGAAGACCTGTGCTGCCTTCAGTTTCTCAAACGGAAGCCCCCTTCTGCCTTCTCTTACTTTACTTTGGTAGGGGGCTAGCTTGATCTGCGTCACAGTTGTGCTCCCTTAATTTTCTCTTCCTGTTTAATTCAGGCCTTTTCCTGTAAATGTGTGCAGAGAACTCAGGTTTAATTTCCATTATCACTGAAGCAAGGACTGGTGCTGGCTGGTGCTGATTCTTCTGACCTTCACAAGTGTATCTTTCCCACCAGGCGGCGTGCAGGGCAGAGCTACAAGGGGCTCTGACCAAAAGCAACTGCAACTCTAGCATGCGTGTCTGAACCCATTCTCCACTGCACTGAGATCTTGTTTGATTCTTAACCCGAGACTACATTTTCAAATCATAAAAACTTGGTACTGTCCTTTTCTAACTTTTTTTCAGACATCAGATTTCTGTTGATTCTCAACAACTGTTGGGGACTGATCAGAGACCCCCTATCCCTGAGGAGGGAACAGCAGGGGGAGGAAAGGCAAGACAAACTTAAGATACAAGGGAGACCGGGAGGAACTTGCTCCAGTGGACAAGCACAACCTGCTTTTATTCGCAAGAACTGGGGGGAGGGCAGCACACATTTCATGGAACAGCAGCTCTAGCGAATGGGCAGATAAAGAATAAACTAATGGGGGCTGGGGATTTAGTTCAGCAACATAAGCACCTGCCTGGCAAGCATGAGGTTGTGAGTTCCATCCTGGATTTTAAAAATAAAAAAATTAGAACAAAGAATAAACTAATGAAAAATGAAATTTTCTCTGTACCCAGATGCCTATACAGTAGACCCTTGATTTACTAACTCAGTTCACTCTCCAGGGCTGCTTTAAATCACTGTCAATTGAAGGCTCAGGCTTCTCTACACAGCCTTCAAAGTCTCTGTCCAATACACAGGCAGATCTCAGTGTCCTTGGAGAGACATTGGCCCAGGATCTCTCATTTAACCCCATACAGGAGAGGATGTTGTAATGTTCCTTCCAGAATACTCTGAGGTTTAAATCTACATCTGATACCATCTAGAAGCACGAGTGGTCATCATTTGGGTCATAGCTCAAGATTTTGGTTGTAAGTTAAAAACTAAAATTCCCTGTCATAACCCAAGTCGTTTGTTCATCAGGTGTCTTAACCCAAGGGACCATGCTATCTTTGCTTCAGGAATGTTGGGTTATCAACATTCTTCCTATTGCCAGGGTGCACAGGCTTTTCCTATACCTCTCTGTCTTGGAAGCAGGGTCACACCAGCCTTGGGAGAGACTAAGTCACATATTCAGGGTCCCTGTAATCTGTCACATAGCCTGTTCCCCAACAAACAGTTCTACATTGTAAGGACTGTTACTAAATCCTTTTTACGATAATGCCCATGTAGAGTAAATGCAGCCTAAGACAGGATGTTTCCTGGGCTCATTTGTAGTTGCAGGACTAGGGAAGGAAACTGAAACTTTGTCTCCTAATTAGATGTTTTCTGTTTGCTGCCACAAGACCCACCTACTGAGACAGAGCCTGGGCATCTGAAGAAATCAGTACTGTTGAAAGCAAGTTCTGTTTATCCAGTCTAGTTCAAGCAGGTGGCTCTTTAGAGAATTTTAGTGACATTTTAATTTGATTCACTAAAAATTCAGGTGAATCCAATAGATATCCATATGGGTTTCACACTGAATGAATACAAAAGCATTTGAAATTCTGTTTCTGTGCTTAAAAGTAATGACCCCGTGGAAAATGCAAATCAAAAGTACATTGAGATTCTATCTCGGGTCCATCAGAATGGCTATCAGCAAGAATACAAAAAGCAGCTAGAATGATGGCACACATCTATATCCTATAGTCCTACTACTCTGGAGGCTGAGGCAGGATCACTGCAAATTCAAGGCCCCAGAATGAGTGTAAGTGTAGCCTCAAGTACTTGGAGACCCTGTCTCAAAAAACAAAAAAAATTTTGGCACATGCTGCAACATGAAGTAAACCATCTGCAAAAGGACAAATACATGATTTCATTTGTGTGAAGTTCCTACAATAGATTCATACGAGCAAGAGTGGTGGTTGGATGGGGAGATGGGAGTAGTGCAGGGATACAGTGGGGAAGACCAATAAGTTCCCAAAATGGATGGAGGGTGATGATTGCATAGCACTTAATACCACAAGGTTGCAGCTTTACAGTGGTTGAAATCGCTATTTTTATGTTGCATATTTTACCACAGTAAAAAATACATATTTGTTTAGTCTGAAGTGAAGATACTCTTGAGTCCTTGAGGGCAAAAAGCAAGAAGATACAAAGTCAGACTCACCTGCTGGGAATAGGTATATAATTTTTAAAGTGACTCACTAAACTTGAAACCATGGTGAAAGGAAAATGATTAAAATTTAGATATCTCATTCTTCAAGGGCATTTCAGGACTTAAGAAATTGAAAGTATACATGGTTTGGGCCAAATGTAGAAAGGGTGAAAGTATATTAAGTCACAAACTGTGTTAGTGTATATGTAACAAAATACTGTTGGCTGGTAGAGAGGTCTTTGAAGCCTTTCTTAATGAACAGATAAAAGTTATAACTTAGGCATTTAATTATTGCACAGTTTAGTAGTTGCATAAGTGGTTTATTGAATGGTATTTTAGTACCATTAGTTTATTGAAATAATTTATTGAATGAATAACAGATATTCCTAAGCATTTCTCTATTCCTTAAGTAAATCCAAATATACTAATTTTTAACAATGGTAACTCAATTTTTAAAAGTTATTTCATTGCAGTCTTAATAGTACCTAAATTTAGTAGTTTCTCATGCTTAGTTTTTAAAGGTCCATCCTTTATGTTCTGATTCTTACAGATATCCTTGAAGAATTATGCCAGCAGCCAGGCGTAGTGGCACATGCCTATAATCCCAGCACTTGGGAGGCTGAGGCAAGAGGGTGGCTGTGAGTTTCAGACCACCCTGGGCTACATAAGCAAGTTCAAGGCAAACCTGCGCCACATAGGAAAATCCTGTCTCAAAAAAAGAAATTAATCCAAGGAAATAACTCCTGTTTTGTGTGTGTGTGTGTGTGTGTGTGTGTGTGTGTGTGTGTTTTAATCAGTCACTGGAATATGATAAATCAAAACTGTTTACCTGCTGAGTTTGGATAGTGATACAGATTTTGATTTCAGTTGCTGTTGAATTTCTGTAGGTAAGAGGTGACAACTATACCATGATCTAGATTCAGAATACTTTATTTTAAATAGATGGGTACTAAGTGTTCTTTTCTTTTTAACTTTAGTAAAAAATCCCAGAAGTGGGATGAAATGAACATCCTGGCAACCTATCATCCAGCTGACAAAGACTATGGTTTGATGAAAATAGATGAACCAAGCACTCCTTTCCATAGGTAATGTTACATATTCCTTTTTCCTTTTGTAGCATGATTTTTTTGCATTGATCATGAGTTTCTGGATTACTGCAGATTTGAATGCTGTTTGATTTTATTTGTTTTGTTTTGTTACTGAACCACTAGGTAGTAATCTGATTGCTTCTTCCCATTTGGAGACAGGGTCTCAAGTGTGTTGCCCTAGTTGGCCTCAAACTCATAATCCTCAGCCTTTCAGATACTAGGATTACAGGTCTGTGCCACATCTCTCTCCAGCCACGTAACTTTTTATTTATTAATGAGTAATATGTAATTTTAAAATTACAGAAACTATTTGGTGCATTATAATCATTGCCAGTAAACATTTATTTGTTGCATTTGAGTGGTTGCCAGCTGCTAATGAAGCACACAGGTTAGTGAGCTTTGTCTTTCTTGATAGAGAAGAGGTGTAGATTTGTTTGCTTCTCAAGTAGAAATCAGAGGCTTTCTTTGCAGAAAATGATAACTGCATGGATGGAAATGGTGGTCATTATTATTTCTTGTCATTTTTGAGCTTATATAAGTACATTGTGATTTTTGGCAATTTCAAGTCAAACATTTTTTGAATGAATTGTGAAATGATAGTAAGTGGTACTTACTATCGTTATAGGAAGACTTACCTGGTAGGAAGACAAAAATCATGTACCAATAAACATAAGAGTATGGAGGCTGAGAGTGGTGGTGCACGCCTGTAATCCCAGCACTTGGGAGGCTAACGCAAGAGGATTGCTGATAGTTGGAGGCCAGTCTGGGTTACCTAATGAGACCCTGTCTCAAACCAAAAAAAAAGAGTGAGAGAGAATATGGAGCTTGGCGTGGTGGTGCATGCCTATAAATCCCATCACTCGGAAGGCAGAGGCAGGAGGATTGCTGTGAGTTTCAGGCCATACTGGGCTACAAGGTGAGTTCGAGGCCAGCCTGAACTACATAGCAAGATAATATCTCAAAGGAAAACAAAAATGGAGCTCTCAAATACCATGGTACCTTGGTTCACAAACAAAAAGTGTTTGACAAAATTTTGTTTTTGTTTGCAAACTCTACCTCAAATGACAGACACTACCACAGCCATCTTTCCCACGCAAACTCAGATATGGCCATGTTTTCTAAAGTCATGGAACAAATTGAGTAAGTGAACCAAGGTCCCACTGAAAATGGAATACTGAGTTAAGATTATGCCTTAACTTTTATTGAAAACTAAAATTTCCAAACCAAAATATGTTATTGAAGTAAGACAACATAAATTCTTAAGTCCTCATTACAATAAGAGTTGAAGAAATGCTGTGTTTTAAATCAGTGAATGAGAACTTTGGAAAGTATTATGAAATTGCTTGCTACTAATAAAGCAGAAAAAATAAGACGTTTAAAATTGTGCCAAAGTTAGAAATAGATACAGATAAGGAAGCTCATTACTAATTAAATTTGAGGAAAGAAACATTTATGAAGCAGCTTATATCCTTGTTTTTCTCCTAGTTACAGATACTTACTTTAAAATACATCTCACGAGTGTCTAGCTGGCAAGTTCGATCCCTGGCACACACAAAAAAAGTCTCAAACTCTTGTTGTTTTGTTTTGCCTTACATTTTACTGAGAGTTGCTGGAAGGGTCATTTGGTACGCATGTGAGGCTTGTGTATGCATAGATGTGTGTTCTCAGCTTTTATCAGCTCAGTGCAGTTTCATCATTCTTTCCATGTTTTTTAAGTGTTTTATTAAACAGGATGGTTTTCAAAGAAAGATCATGTTTTATTTACACTATGTAAGAATCTTAATTCAAGCCAGTAGTGGGGATAAGTGTATTTCATCTCCTCTTGAAAAAATAAACATCATTTTAACTGTTGTACTTACTTAACCTGTCTTCTCAACCTGGGAATATTAACCAGCAGTTTTTTTATATATAGTTGAATTGTTTGATATACCCCTCTTGAAAATAAAGGGTTCCATTTTTATAGTAATATTTGAGCAGAATTTTCCCTAGATGGTACAATAGAAGAGCCAAACAGCTTTGAAACTTTCTGAATTAGGTCTTTAGGATCTTAGTGTTATTTTATCTATTCTTATGTCTGTTTAGATCACCTGTCTTTGTCTCAACAGCGATGTATGCATACATATTCCAAAACCAAATGGTGATTGATTTAGCATTGTTTTCCCTCACTGGATGAAATAATTGCAGCTTCATAGTATTTTTTTCAGATGGGGAGTTGAGGGTATTTTTTTTTATGATTGCCCTTTTAAGTAATCATTTGGAGTCTTAATTGGTTCTGTACTTTTTTTATTTTTTCAGCACTGGGGATTGCACCAAATCCTTGTGCTTGCTACACAAGCATTCTGCCTCTGAGCTATGCTTTTAAATGTTTGCATTGAATCGAAACTATCTAAAGTAACCTCAAATAAAAATAGAGCTTTTAATGTGTTGATATTTCAATTGGTTAATAGAATTATGTTGACTTTTCCTAGTGGAAGATTCTACTTCATGTATTAATGGCAATGTGCTTACCATTCTAGTATGATAGGTGATGATGAAGACGCAGTTAGTGATTCTGAAGCCACTGAGCCCCTAACTCCAGATGTCTTAGCTAAGAAGTAAGTTATAAAGCATTTTTACTTACACAGATTATATTTGTGCATTTAGACATTTTATATTGCTTTCCTTTTTACTTACACACATGTAAATAAAAGGCTAGATATATCTGTTTTTTGTTTCTGTTTGCTTGTGGATGCTGGGGATTCAATCCAAAGCCTCCAAATGCTAAGCCTATGTTTTACCACCGAGTGACATCACCAGCTCCTATCCAGGTTTTTCACATCAACTGCTAATCTTATGTCTTGATTAAAATCAATGTATATAGGTGGCAGAAAGATTAGAATACATTGAACAGAATTGTTGTGGAATACTAGGTTGTGTTTTGTTCCTATGATTTTGTTTTGTTTAATGTCCTGTCACCTGTGTTTTAAAGATAGAAATGACAAAGGCAAAAATAAGTTAATTCATAAAGCAAACTCTTGCTGTTACTGATTTCTAGCACCAATGGCACTACTGGTTTTGGCATATTGGTTTTGATACCAATTCCTACTCTTTTGCTTTTTATTTTCCTTAATGATCATTAGATGTCTCATGATGCTCAGACTTTGATTAAGGCACTTGAATAATATAGTGAATAATAGTGTTGATTTGTAAATTATTGTACAGATTGGCTGCTGCTGAAGGCTCAGAGCTGAAGTATCAGATTCGGGAACAAGAAAGCAGTGGAGAAGAGGATAATGATCTCTCACCAGAAGAGCGAGGTAGTTTCCGCTCTGCTTTCAGCATGATGCTAATAATTGTACAGATAACATTTTCTCAAGTTGTACTAGCTTTCTCCTATTTTCAGTGACTACCTTACAAAATATACCAAGAGGCCTTTGAAAATGGTTTCAAATAGAAATTGTTCCTAGAGTTTGTTTCCTTAATACACTGCAAAAACAAGTTCTGTTGCCAGCAGGGAATGTAACTACTGTGTGCTGTCATTTTTCATTAAGTAGTATTCCTGGAGTTGTAGTTCAAGAGTTAGCCTGCAGGGGGAGCCATTTGACTAATTAGAACTTCAGTACTTCAGTAAATTCAGTTCCTATCAGTAGTTACTAAGTTTTTTAGGTGTTTTTCACTTTGTATGTCTGGAAAAAGGTTGTTTATTGACAGTAGAGGTTCTTAGGAAAATGTTGTCTTGTAATTTATAGCATATGATTGTTTCTAGGGTATACCAAACTCAAAAGTTTAGATTCTAGGTGTCCTACTTGGCTTTCTAATCAGGATATTCCCCACAAAAAAGTAAAAATAGCTATGAAAAGGGTTATGCACTTGTGGAGTTACTATGCAAAGTTGGCTATTTTTGAGGTAGACCTAAAATGTCCTTTTATTCTTGCATTGTGTTGTTCTGGCACACGAGAATCTTAGCAGGAAGGACTGGGACCACTTAGATTAGCAGCTTTCATGGACCGAATACTTTGCACACTTAATACAATAAATTTTGAATATTTCAGAATTAGAATATGTTTATAATAAGCCAAATTTAGTATCTTTTTAGATGTGAGAATATATGTGTGTATAACTGGGGGTGGCAGCACTTGGAATTGAACTTAGAGCCTTTGTACTGAGCTACATGACCAGTCCAGGTTGTCTGCTTGTTTTAAATTTTGAGACAGAGTCTGAGTTGCCCAAGCTGTACTTGATCTTGTGATCTTCCTGCCTCAGCCTCCCAGCAGGCTGGGATTATAGATCTGTCACCACACCCAGCAGAAATAACTTTTTAGACTATGGAAATATAATTCTCAAAAGACAAAGTGACAGTGACCTCTCCCTTTTCTTAAAACTTTACTGGTCTAAGAAGTTTTAGGATTGTCTCTTCAGAAACACTTTAAAATGCCATTAGTAAAATGTAGTCAGTTATGTTGAATTGCTCTCACCATTACGTTTCGGTGGTAAAAACTATAATCATGACAGGTTTCAACCCAGAATTAATCAACACTTAAGTATAGAGTCTTGCTTGGTTCATTCATTTATTCACTTACATGTAGTGTTATAGTTTCATTTTTTTCCCCCATTCAGTTCTTGTTGGAGAATTTTCCTGTGGCTTTCAATGTTCTTCACAAATATGACTTGTATTTGTTTGTCTTGTTCTTCCACTGAGATGTACCTGAACTATGTAACTCAAAGGTGGCAAACTATAAAGTGAACAGAGTAAATATTTTAGACTTGGAGCGCTGTATTGTCTCTATTGCAAACCATTTAACTCTTCCATTGGCATATTCTTCCTGTAAAGTGCACAGGTGGTAAATATTTCTGGTTTTGATGGCTGTGTGGTCTCTATTAGACACTACTCAACTCTGCCACTGCGTACAGCAGCAACCTTAAACGTGACCGAGCTGAGCGGGGCTGTCTTCTGATAAAACTTCACTAGAACAAACACAGCCAGTCCTTGAGCCAAGATTTTCTAAGTTTTCTTTTGTATCTTACAGAAAAAAAGCGACAATTTGAAATGAAAAGGAAGCTTCACTACAATGAAGGACTGAATATTAAGTTAGCTAGACAATTAATTTCAAAAGACTTACATGATGAGGAGGAAGACGAAGAAATGTCAGCAACTGCAGATGGCGAAAAAATGAATATTGAAGAATCAAAGCAAGGTTGGATGTTTTTAAAATATCACTGAAACTTATAGTTCTCTGAGTGATTATTTTGCTTTAACAGTAATTTTGCTGATTCTCTTCATTTTACCAACGTTTGTAAAATTTCAATCTCTATGCTAATTAAAGTTCATTATGCCTATAGTTGACTTAAGACTATGTGTTACGTTATGTAGCAGTTTTTTCTTATGGTTTGCTTGAGTTTAGGCAACAATATTTGTCTTTATATTAAGGTGTGTTTTGTTTGGCTTTCAGATCATGTTTTGTCATAACAATCTAAAGAAACACGGTTTTAATATGAAGAATTTTTTTGAACATCCCTTTAGGTTCTGAAAACATGTTACATCTTTCCAGTGTGATTCTTTGGTCTTGACTGACAAGTTTTTTGACTTTGCTTTTTCAGGGCATTGAACCCAAAGCCTTACACATGCTAGGGAAACACTACCACTAAGCTAAATCCTCAACCCTTGCTGGTTTCTTTTAATATTCAAGGGAACATTTCTTTGTTCTTTTCATCAGCTTCTTATTAGACTTTCAATATCATCTCTTAGTAAGGCATTAGGAATGCGCTTCATTTTCTGCTGGAAATTTGTACACAGTGCTGCTATGTCAAAGAACAAAGAGGGTTTTTTTTTGTTTAAGTGAGTACTTTTAAAATATAACACTATCCTCGCAACTACTTAGGAGGTTTAGGCACAAAAATTGTAAGTTTGAGGCCAGCGTTAGTGACATTAGTGTAATCCTATGTCAGAGTAAAATTTTCAGAAGTGATGAGGATGTAGCTAAATATCCCTGAGTTCAGTCCCTAGCACTACAAGCAAGAAAAGAAAAAAAGAAGGAAAAAAACTGGCTTTTATCCATCTCTGCCTATCAGACATTAAATTTCACACATTTAATAAATATATTTTTCTGTATAACGATTAGTAGTTTATGTTAGCTGAATGCCTGCTTTTGATTCAGTGGAGATAAAAGTACCCTTTGTGAAAGGTACATCTTTATTGATGTGTATGTTTCTTTAAGGATATTGTTTGTATATCCTCCTTATCATAAAGTCTACAAGAATAGAAAGCACTATATAATAGGGCTTAAAATTAAGCTCTTTATTTAGGCCCTAAATAAAGGCTCTAGAGGCTCTTAAATTTTTTGTGTTTACTAACCTTTAAAATATCCAGGTTCTTCAGAATTCATTACTTTCTGAGGTGGCAGTCTGCTTCCGCTTTGCTCTCCTGTTCCCCCACCATTCCCACCTGTTTCATTGCTGTTTTCATGAAGAGTAACATGATTAGATTCTGGTGTGTGCTTTTCTCGAACATTTAGGGATATTTGTTTCATGTTAACACAGACTTGATAAGCTAATTATTTCTGAGGGTGACATAAGCAAATTATGTTTTTCTTTATCTTTGCAGGATCTACTACAGGTGATCAACGGCAAAACAAATCACAAAATTCATAGAAGAGCTTTGTTCAATGCTGCACTTGTCAAATACAAATCCTGTTACTATGATACAACTGCTTCTTGTTTTCCACAATTCATGACTTAAGTACCAAAATACATCCCAGTTTATTATAGATTGCCAAGAATTAAATGATGACCTTAGAGACTGGTTAGACTGAAAATGTCTAATGAATGCATATATTCTTGTGCCTCACACTTCACCACAAATACAGTATAACCTAATAGTCCAAAACCGCTTTACTTTTGTAAGAACACTGGTTAATTTGTATATTATATAGCTTTTTATGCATTAAAAGTTAATGTCTTTTTTGGGGGGAGGAAACTAACTTATTTTCATCACTTGTAGATGTGGTTACTTATAAATAGGTGGTTGGGCTTTTGTTTTTTACCAAAAGCCAGTTGGAACAATAGGACATATAGATTGATGAATACTCAGGCTGAAAAGTATTTTTCACAGTTGTTTTCAGTGTGATTTGTCTGACTGAGGATTACAAGAGTTACTGTTATATTTTCCAGTCACTACCTTCAAAATACCTGTTAAGGTTTTTTTGTGCTTACAAGGAAGGACTGATGTTTTTCTCATCAAAACTAGATTGTTTTTGTTTTTTAAATGTCGGGTTAAACTTGCACTAGTGTCTGCTCTGCTTGTTTTGGTACAACGGGCAGACTTCAGATCAGTTTCTTCAGGAAACACAGCTCTAGCGTAGCCCTGTCAGCGTGCCCACTCCCTTCTACACATACAAGGGTCACACAAGATTGTCACGATGTTGGGAGCTGTCTTTTCTCTCACACACTCTTGTCATTTGCTGCAGTAATGAATTTCTCCTTGCTTAACCATGCCTAATCTACTTGTGAAGAAAGTAGTTGAGCAGTACTATAAACAGGATATATAAAAGTGCTCAATTCTGTGCCTCCCTGGCTTACATCTGGATAATTAAATTGCTATTCGCTCATTTGACTTAATTAGATCTTAGAAAACAGTTAAGGATTTTTTGCATGATGAGAGAATTGTATGTAACCAGTGATACAATTGTTGCTGAATGTACAGATAGAATTAAGTCTGAACATTTTTTAATTTAAAAAAGTTTAATAGTCCCTGCTTTAGAGGAATATGATAATGTGTCTTTTGACAAATGTCCTTTATTCTTCTAACAGGATAATTTGGATTATTTTTTCCCCTGAAATGAAGAGTCCTGTATATTTTAGTTCCGTGATGTTTTCATTTCTAGTCAGTTATTTGTATCAAGTTTTTGTTAGTACCAAGAATCCATTATCCGAACAGACTTTTAAAATAATTTCTGTATATTATATATATATGAAATGGCTTTTATTGAAGAACTGATCTTCCACTTGCAAGTTTATTGGAAATACCAGTATGTTGAAATAAAAAGTTGGAGAATTATTTGCTGTTAGAAGAATATATTATTTTGAATACTTTTTCTTAAAGTAATCAAAGTACCTCTGAACTGTAGGTATAGTATAACATCTGTCTTCTGAATTACGGCAATTTGGGGGGGTTGTGGAATTTTAAACTACATAGGTATTCACAGAAAGTACTCACATGTTTTCTGTTTGTTTGCATTGTATTGGGGATTGAGTCCAAGGCCTTGTGTATGCTAGGCAAGCACTGAGCTACCCCTCCCTCTCTCTCTCCTTCTCTTTCCTCTCCTCTCTCTCTGTCCCTTTCCCTCTTCTTCCTTCTCTTTTCTTCTGTTCTCTTCTCTTTTCTCCCTCCTTCCTCCTCCCTCCCTCACTCTCCCCTCTCCTCTCCTCTCCTCTCCTCTCCTCTCCTCTCCTCTCCTCTCCTCTCCTCTCCTCCGTCTCTCTCATTTTGAGGCACTATCTCACTGTTTCCCAGGCAGGCCTCAAAACTCCTGTGGTCCTTCCTCCTGCCCCAGCTTCCACATGCTCTATTTGTTGAAGCCATTGCTGTGCAGTGCAGGAAAAGATAAGACGCAAATAACTGATTCTTTTGGTGATTTCTGTAAAGTATTTCTTGAAACTTTTTAAAAATTGTTTTTTTATTTCTTAAAGCAAATCATTTCTGGTTTCAGAAGTAGGTAATTATCTCACAGGTGTAAGACTTGCCAAACAGCACGCTTGGTGAGATTTTGGGTAGTCAGGTGCAGCTGAATAAGAATGTTTCAGCGAGTCTTGGAGTAGCCAGAATAATAAAGCATTGTGGCCTGGAACTGTAGCCCAGACACACACACTTGATAGTGTGCACTAGATTCTGTCAGCCCCCACACCACAAAAGGAGAAAGGAGCAGCAGAAGCAACTGCCTCTGCTTTATGATATAAGGTAGGTGTTTCCTTTGGAGAAAGTTGTCTGTGAACGTTTGGTTCTTTTCAAGGTAGATTTTACTTCCAGTCATGTATTCATTATTATTTCCTGTACTTAAAGTTCAACAGGGATGGCCTTGAAGATCTGACACATGATAGTGTAAGTGGATTGTTAAAATAACTTTTGAAGTTTAGAGCTAACTGCCGTTTCCCCCTAAACTTTACATTTACGTTAATGTATGCTGCACATACTGCAGTGAAATAAGTATGGCACTGGCCTGTGTGTGGGCCTTAGTTCCTTGTGAGTCAGCTGTGTCAGGATCGTATTCTACTGACCAAGTGTTGACACCAGGATGGATCTTGGCTTATATTGTAGCTGAGTAGTTTCCTTGGTTATAGTAAAAATTATAACAAAAGCTGGCATTTTTTTGGAGACTATTTTCACCTGTCTGTGTCCCTTATATCTAATCCTCGAAACAACCATACAAATCAGACATCCTTCTCTGTACTCTAGAAATAAGGAAAATGCTCCTTACCAGGTTATTTGGGCTGTGTCTCATACCTGCTACGTGACAGAATTCAAATCCAGATCCAACTAAATTCTATGGTCTTTTTCAATGCTTTTTTAGATGAAAATTCATTTTATAAAGTGCACCTTATAAATAAACCTCATTTGGATTCTTGTATATATTGTATGCTTTAGGAGAACTATTTTTCAAGTAGTTATTCGGAAATATTGAAAATTTTGTTTAAGGTTTGTATTGCATGTAGGAAAGTCAGATGCACAAGTGCTCCGTGGCTGGAGATTTGAGTGCATGATCTGGTTGTATTCCACAAGTTTGTTTCTAAGCAGACTGTTTCAAGCTTAAAACATAATTATTTCAGAATGTGAATGTATTACAAAGTCAAGTACCAAGTTGGTCTATAAAAATCAGCATGTGCCTAAACCAATGTGTCCCTGTGTGTTCTATGAAACCCTGGTAGCACAAGATGTTCTGTGAAGAAAAGTCCGTGAGTAGATAAGCTTTGCATATGCTGCACACTTTTTTTTCTACCCCCATGCAGATTTATGGGATGTTGGGAGTAGCTCAGTGGTGAATTGCATACTGAGCATGTGCAGAGAGACCTGGGTTCTATCCCTAGGGAGAAAAAGAAGAAAAGATCTGAAGAGTCTTGATTAGAGCAAGTAGTTTAAAATTGAGTAAAACTCAGCATTTTCCAAATGTATTTTATAATAACTGTCATACTTTGTCTATCAAGAAATATCCCAAATAGGGGATATACCTGTATTTCTAATATATGAAAGTTGAACATTTCTAGGAGAGTGAATGATACATAGTTTGCCAAGCATAAGACTTTAATTTTTGGTAACTCATGCAATAAACTGTAAGAGGCGTATCTGGGACAGATGAGGGTGGGGTTGATGGGGCTGGTTTTGGGCACTGTGGTTTAGCACTGAGATGACGCTTGCTCCAAGATTTGCTGCTCTAAGCAGTTTTCCAAAGGTTTTGTTGCTATCCGCTCTTGTCTCATTGGGTCACAGGAGCACATCTACTACTCATTGGGAAAATAAAGAGGACAGCAAGTGTCTTCGGTCTGGCTCGTAACCCAAGCCTTGGTTAATTTTTTTTTTTTTAGCTCACTTTAAATTTGCCTTTGACTCATTGTTTTATTTGTGAAATTATTGGGGGAGGTAATGATGAGACTAGGTAAATGAGGGTGAATTTGGCAAGTGTTTAGTCATGATTTTATCTCAACTGCCCAACCTGAAATACTTTCTTTCAGTACAACTGCCAAGTGTTAGCATTTCAGTTCTGTTACCAGTGGGAATCATTGAAATTGGAAGAAAACTAATAAACTGACAGTGTTGACTAGAAATAGAAGAGGATTGTGCAGGCTGGTCTTCTCTATCATACCATTTGGCCTCCCTTTGGAGTTATAAAAGAAGTTTACAACGTTTTGTTCAAATAGTTTAGCCTGAAAAGTGTTAACGAGTAACAGCTAATGAACATAAGAACAAAGCTTAGTTACTTAGTTCTGCTCTCTGGTTTCTGCAGTATTCTTTGTGCAAGCAGTTATTTATGGACAGAATACGTATTTTCATCTTCCTGTGTAACAGTCACTCAGCAGGCAGTCTTCCTGCCTCTGCCTCTCTAGTGTTGAAATTAGTATGTGTCACCACACACAGGTCAAGTGATTTTTTTAAACACTGCCTAATACAAAATGTTGACTATCAAAAGTTGAAGGAAGTTTTGTGGATTGTTGCCAATTTTATGCACCCCTTTACCATACTTTAAATCAGTTCATGGGGGGAGGCAAATGGGGAGAGAAGGGGTGGATATGGGAGTTCCACTCTAGTTTGAGAGTCTCAGAAAATGCTCTGGTCCAGTGTTGTCTTTTAAAGAGAGAGCTTCCCTAACTAGTAAGCATCTTGAGTTTTTCTGGTGAATTGTGAATATAATCCAATCTTGAGGGTTGTCTTTCATACTGTTTCAATGTGAGTACAACCTAGAGAAGAAAACCAAGCTGCAAAGTGAGCTAAAGCAAAATAAAATTAATCGCAGTAAAAGACATTGCTATTATTCATCCTCAGAATACTCCCCCTCGCTTGGAGTGCACACATCCAACTGTTCTTACCAGTTTGTGAGGAGGTTCTGGAAGTCCTCTTGCCTGCATCTCCTCAGTTGTGCTGTGGTGGCCGCCTCCAATGTCCTGAATTGATTTAAAGTGCTGACCTTTCGTGGTCGTTTTGACTTTAGGAAAGAGCCAGAAACTGCACGGCACCAGGTCTGGTGGATAAGGTGGGTGAAGACACAGGCTTTTACTAGCCTGCCTTGCCTTTGGCTGGTACTTGGCAGCAGCATGACTTTTTTTTTTTTTTTTTTTTTTTTTTTTTTATCACTCCTTGTTCAAAAGAGAACTTCTAGAACTTCAGAAAGTGTCAAGAGTGATGGGGTAAGTGTGGAGAAGTGTAGGGGAGGATTTTGAGTGGGCTGAATGGCAATGTGTCTTACTGTAATACATTTTAAAATTTAAACACTTAACTATATTTTGATCACACCTCAGTTCTGACTCCTGGAGATACGGACTCCTGGAGATACAACACAGGCCTTGTGTTTAATTGTTGGCACTGAAAAAAAATCATTGGGAAAAAATATACAATTACTGTGACCAAAGCAAAATACACAGGAGCAACTTAGAATAATCAGGGTGTCTGTTGTTTATGAAGATGTATTAATGCATATCACAGACAGCACAAACTGAGCTCTCTTATCCCCCACCCCAAATTCTGTCCTGGAATTAATAACTGGCATCCAGCCTTCAACCTTGATTTGTTTACTTCTCTCAAGCAGCTCTAGTCCATTAAAAGCTCTACTGATCTCATCTCTAAATTTTATCTAAACCGTTCCCCTTTCAGTCTCTTAGTCAAGCCACCATCATACTTGCTTGTGCTCCTGAGTATTTCCTTATTCTGTCCCTTCTAATCCAGTTGCTACATAGCAATAAATGTCGCTGACCCACTTAAAGCTCTTCTGTGACTCCCCTGCCACCCTTAAGACTAGCTTACAAGACTGCATGTCCCGGCCCCACCTACCTCTTCAAGTCTTGCACCACTCCTGTTACTACAGTCATTTGGTTTTAGCTTTTTTAGTTTCTCTGGTTCCTGAAGTTTCCCTCCTCTTCGTTTTTGTTTTTTTCCTTTTGAGACGGTCTTACTATGTACCCAGGCTGGCCTTGAACTCACAGTAATCCTGCCTTAGCCCCCTGAGGTGGGTACAGCCTGCCTGGCACCAATTTTTCATGATTTTAGTTTCAAAGACAACTCCTCCCACACTTGGCATTTCCCTACCCTCCCTCTTTAAAAGATGTCTTTCCTACAACACTCAGGATCCTTGTTTCCTTATCTGGTTGGTTCGCTTGCTTGTTGCCTGACTTCTTTCTAAAAACAAAGTTCTATGAAGACAAGACCTCTGACACACTGCAGGATTCTCAGAACTTTGTACCGGCTGGTTCAGTAGAAGCCTTATCAAATATTTTTTGGATGAATGAAAGGGTGATGCTTGTTCAATACATGATTCAACTTTTCCTTCCCAGGAGCCTTTCCTCATACACTTAGTGGTTAAGTATTAGAACCAGGAAGGAAGGGATCACCAAGGCTAATTTGCTTGTTTTCTAAGAAGGCAGCTGATGCAGGGTCAACTGAAGAGGGACCAGAAGCCAGTTCCTCTGGCTCCTCATTTCTGTACTAAATCTCCCCTTGCATTGAACCACTGTGGCCCTGTGTCATCAAAGTGATTTTATTTTTTCAGAGTGGAGCAAATTAAGAAATAACATCATTTGTGCTTGCTTCATTCAGCAGCACATGTATTAGAAATAACGTTCTTCAGAATACTCTGAAAATAAACTCTCCTGCCCAAATAAAATTTCTTCAAAAAAATTGAGATATTGTTACAGAATTCCCAACTTCTAATCATTTCAGAAGTCAGTCTTGCTAGAGAATGTTCATATGAATATTGATTATTAAATACTGCATGGTTCCCAAAACAGAGAATAGGAAAATAGGTTTTTGTTCAAATGGGAAAAAGAACAAAGGATGGGGATGGATGGTAAGAGAAGAAGATGAAAGGAATCGAGATGTGTTCTGGACAGGTACCAACTCCACACAAGGAGTGAGAGTGCTGTGTCCAGATGTACATGCTAATAAAGATAAAGATAGGAAAACAGAGAAGCAGAGTGGAATGGTGGTTGCCAGGGACTGGGACAGGAAGGCTGACAAAACACTTGTCAGAGGTTATAAATTTCAATTAAATGGTAAAATAAGGTTAGGAAATCTACTGTACAGCATGGTAACTATAGTTAACGTTATATATTCTTGAAAATTGCTAAGTGATTTCTAGAAAAAGGTTTAGTTTTTCACTTTCTCTAGTTCCCTAAGTTTATTGATCCTACCCCCACCGGCCAACCTGCTGGCCTGTGCAATGTTCATTTTAGAAAAAGTTTCTCAATAAAAAAAATTAGGTAATTATGATAAGTAGCTTGATTTAACCATTCCACAATATCTAGAAAGACACATTTCAAATTAATGTGTATCATGCATATTAATTTTTTAAATAATGGAAAAGTATATTTTATTCTTTTAAGATTATTGTCTACATTAGTTCTGTAAAAGTCAGTGAGTAGCTGGGTGTGGTGGCTCACACCTGTGATCCCATAGTCTGAGAGGCAGAGACAGGAGGATTGCTGTGAGTTCAAGACCAGCTTGAACTATATACCACATAGAGAAACCCTGGCTCCAAAATAAAAGCAAGTGAGTGGAAAAAATGTTGACTTTTCAATTATTTTTCAATAATGAAAAGACCCATTTGCTGATTTTTGTAGTTAGAGGATGCAGCTAGACCAATAACAGACATAAACTTGGAACTAGCTCAAAGGTTTCAGATTTTCTCCTAAGGACACTGGGGGCGGGGGGAAGGTGAATGCATTTAATCCCCAAACAATAGGGCTAACCTGACCAAGTCTTCACTACACTCCAGGGCCCATAGGTCACCTACGGCTGCATTGGCCATGTAAGGAGAAGCCTCACAGAGGGTGCTAGGGAACAGGACAAGTGTGGAAAAGGACACTTGCCTTGGTCAAAAAGTTTGGTGGAGTAAATCAAATATGGAGATGGGATAGGCAAGGTGGGGTAGGGATATATATGTTTACAATTACATTAGAAAAGAAGGCTCCCTCTCCTCATGGTTAGAATGTTTAAAAATTAATCATCAGCAAAAAGAGATGTGAGAGCACCTAATCAATACTCCTGCCTTGCTGTCTGACGCAGCTCCTGCCGCACCGAGCGCGCTGTGCTCTGTGTCAGGTATCCTGGCATCTGCTCGGCCTGGCCTTCAATGCAGTGCCTAAAACACACCATTGTTATACTGTGGGTTTATGAGATCTATATTAA